GAACTCCAAGCTAGACGAGGACGGAGTGCCAACGGATGCTATTGCGAGCTTCCAGACTCGGCGCTCGATGCAGTCCCGCCGAAGCTCCTCGAGCGCATACCTGAATGGAAACGGCGACCGCGAGGGGCTCATCCACGCGTACGACGTGGAGCACAACGGAATAAACATGAATGATTTCGCAGAGGCAAGCGATGGGGAGCCAGGGCCGACGTTCCCACGTACCGACAGGACGACTGCGAAGCACACCAAGCGGAACAGTCAACTCTGATGGTATAGGGCTTCAATTGTATTTTTACTCTACGAAAATGCCAGAGTTGCAGAACTCGGGCTCAGGCAGAGAGATGTCTGAACGACTGGATATGACTCTGGGTTATGCGTTTTGTTTTGTATATAGTCTTCTCTTGGATTTCTTGAATAGATGGTGGGGCCGATGATGTAGTCAGCTGTTTATGGAACATGCCCATCCGAGATTCTAACTCTTCCCTCTCTGCCTCTTCAGGCTGTTTGATAGTCGCCAAAACCAAAGGGGGAAGCAAGATGCCCAGTCTCCTGCGCAAACTGGTTATCGTCGCCGCAGTCGACGGCCTAGTCCTTCACGCAGCCAACTCCCGATCTAACAGCGGATGCAATAATGAAGCCTCCTCAATCCGCATCGACTACAAAACGAACAAGATAACCGCCCTGCCAACCTCGGCCTCAGAGCCTCTCGACGGAAAAGACGCCCTAGAAGCCCACGGTCTAATCGGTACGTGAAACAGCTATCCAACCCCACAGAAACACAACCTAACCCGCGGGGGTGAACAACCCACACACCCCACAGGCCTATTATCCGTCGCCTCATACTCATTCCTGGTATCAATCACACAGCGCGAACAGGTCGCCCAAATCCAAGGCCGACCCGTCTATGCCGTGACAAACGTGGCCATCATCCCCATCTCCTCCCAAGCAGACGCCACCCGCGCAATCATACAAGCTAGAAAGGATACAGCCCAGGTGATCCTCTCTCTCGACTCCTCCGATGAAGATGAAGACGATCTCCCGGATAATGAAATAGATCGCGAGGAGGTAGAGATTGGTAGCTTGCCCGCGTCGCCGACTCGTGAGTTGCACCATGCCCGCGGTGCTAGCGCTGGAAGCATCGCGGAAGATGTAATCGGCAAGCGGGTTCGTTTTGGTCGCTTTGCGGCTAATTGGTTGTCGCGTAAGAACTTGGGCTTGCCTAGGCCTGGTGCTTTGGAGCAGGATGCCCCTGCCACTGCACCTGCTCCGGCTCAAGTGGCTGAGTCTGAACCACCATTTGATGACGATGCGCCCAGCCCTTCGAGTGAGGCCCGTGATGCAAAGGATGAGCCTTCTTTGCAGGCGGGTACGCTTGATGGACCGGGCGAGTCGGATTTCGATCGGTTGAAATCTGGTCAGGCTACTGATCTCTTGCCGAAGTTGTTGAGGTATACGAGGCTTTTGTTTGCTTCGCGCAATTTCTTCTTTGCTTATGATTATGATCTTACGCGTTCTCTGCACACGCAGGAGGCTAGGAAGGATTTGCTTCCACTTCATAAAGTTGTTGATCCGTTGGTATGCGCGAACTATATGCTTGGGTACTTATTCTCTTGGGGTCTTGCTTACTGACTTTTTGCAGTATTTTTGGAACAGACATTTGATGAATGCATTCATTGATAATGGAGCTCATGGTTTTGTTTTACCGCTTATTCAAGGCTTCGTTGGCCAGCGTGAATTTACCATTGCTGGCGCTGAGAAGAAGTCGTCAGAAGAACTCACAGGAGGTAAAATTCTCGGTGAGAAGCACGAGGCTGAGGCTGTTGAAACCGATGCCAGCAAGCGTGATTACCTTCTGACGCTCATTTCTCGACGGTCTGTTAATCGGCCGGGTCTTCGTTACCTGCGCCGCGGTATCGATGACGAGGGCAACACTGCCAATACTGTCGAGACTGAGCAGATTCTTTCAGTTCCTGATTGGAATCCGTCTCGCCCTGCCTACTCTTATATGCAAGTCCGAGGCTCAATCCCGTTGTACTTTTCTCAGTCGCCATATACTTTAAAGCCAATTCCTGTGTTGCATCATTCAGCGGATACCAATCTTCTTGCTTTCAGCAGACACTTCCGAGAGTTCAGTCGGAGGTACGGGAAGATCCAGGCCGTTTCCCTCGTTGACAAGCTCGCCGGTGAATTGAAGCTAGGAGAGCAATATGAGAGATACACGCAATCCTTCAATGAAGCCGGTGGCATTGATGGCACTCCATTGAGCCTCGAGTGGTTTGACTTCCACCGCGAATGTCGCGGAATGAAGTTTGAGAACGTGTCTCGTTTGGTCGACCGTCTGAAAGACACACTGAACGAGTTCTGCTACACAATCCTCGTAGATAACGACATCCTGCAGACCCAAAAGGGTATCATCCGAACCAACTGCATGGACTGCCTTGACCGCACCGGCGTCGCCCAGTGTGCATTCGGACAATGGGCCCTCGAGCACCAACTCGAGAACGAAGGCATCGATATTGACTTCGGCCGCGACTCTTCAACTCAATGGTTCAACACGTTGTGGGCCGACAACGGCGACGCTATCTCCAAGCAATATTCATCCACCGCAGCCCTCAAAGGCGACTACACCCGCACCCGTAAACGAGACTACCGCGGCGCCCTCAACGACTTCGGTCTCACCCTGTCGCGATACTACAACAACATCGTCAACGACTTCTTCTCCCAAGCCTGCATCGACTACCTCCTAGGCAACGTCTCGACCCAAATCTTCGACGAATTCGCCATCCAACTCCAAACCACAGACCCAGGAATTTCCGTCCAAAAGCTCCGCCAAAACGCGATCGACACAAGTTGCAAAATAGTCATCAGCAGCCCCTCCGAAGACTTCCTCGGTGGCTGGACAATGCTCACCCCGCGCCAACCAAATACCCTCCGCACATTCCCCTTCGAAGAATCCGTCCTCCTCCTCACAGACGCAGCCGTCTATAGCTGCCGCTTCGACTGGGAAACAGATAAAGTCCGCTCCTTCGAGCGCATCGACCTCCGCTCCATTTCCCGCATCCACTATGGCACTTACATCACCTCTATCCTGACGGAGAGCCAAGCAAATGAAGCGAGTAATGTCGGCCTTGTCATCGTCTACAGAGACGGCGATGCAAATACCCTCCGTGTTAACACGCGCTCCCTCCAAAGTGATGTTAATATGAGTTCGCTTGAGACAACTGCTAGTGCGAATAGCGAGTGGGATCTTGTTTCTTGGTTACGTGGTGTGAAAAGAGCTACGACGCGCTTCGTTGCGTTTAAGGGATTACCTTTGTCGACTTCTGTGGCCAGTCCACGGCTTGGTCCTACAACCGGTGTGGTGAAAGAGATGGATCGGGTGAGGTCTATCGCTTTGGATATTGAACGCGCTATGCTTGCTGGTGATGGGAGGAATGTTGAGGCTTCTTCGACTGTTCAGGAGTCGGATATTATTTCTCTTGCTGATGCGAAGAAGAGGACTGGGTGGTTGGAATATTTGGTTTATGATTTAAAGAAGATGGTTTGGGCTTGATTGTGGGCTTTCTTGTCTTGTGTGGCTTCTAGTCCATGGCGAAGTGTGATGCGGTGTCTTTGGGAAGGTGAAGGCGACTGGCGATCCGTTGAAGTTCACCATAGCGTTGACGTTCCCTTGCCCATAGTGCGTTATTGCGTGGTGATTGATCGCGCTGATATCCCATCGGTGCTACTGCAATATTACATACGGGCTACCTTACTGAGGATACTGATTGCGTACCTCTTACCCATGGGCACGACGCATGGGGTGAATTGCTGCCAGGCTTTAGCGAAGTCGTGTCAGGTCGTTTGGTTTTGCCTTGGATTCGTTCAGGGAATGATGCGCGTTGATTCGCAGTCTGCACGCTATACGTTCCAAAATCTACAATGCTCTTCTTTCTTCGGGCTTTGCCATTTCGGATGACTCACTGCCAGTCTTGGGCCGATTTGTGGCTGGCTAATGGTTGACTCTACTTTAAAAGCGCTCAAAAGTAGATCTGATGTTTATTTGCTGGGTTGTCAGCTATAAATCCCCAAATCTGCTTTCTTTTCCCTCTGCCCAGGAGCATGACATACCCAGATGAGCCGCTGCTAGTCTTGAGCGGGTTCGTGTCCGGTCGCTTGGCGTCAATGACGGTCAGACGTGTCTTGTGCGTCTCTTCGCAGGCCTTGTCCGGTATATATTCCTCAATCTAGTTCTTTTTCTTCCTTCCTTCACTCCCTCACATAACTTGTCTGCGGGAGTTCGGCACGTTTCATAGGGATAACTCACTTTTATCCTGTAGCGAAATCCATATCGGTTTGTTTCATGGTCTTTTGAGTCCGGATGTATATCGCGCGTTCTTACACTGGGGCTCGCCGATATAAGATCCAGATGTTTCTCGCGCATTTCTATACGAGGGTTGCCCGCCATAAATTCCCAAATCTACCTCCAGTTTCTCTTTTCCTCCTTCATCGATGTCCAGTCCTGGTTGTTTGACGTTCTGATCAACCTTGGAAGGGTTCAAAGGTATCGCGCGTGTTTGTACACGGAGATTGCACGCTATAAGGTCCCAAATCTACTTCAATTTCCTTTCTCCCTTCTTCGCCTCTACGGTCTGGCACGTTCCAACAGTTTTGGGAAAGACTTGAAGGTTTCCATATTTTCATCTTTGATCTTGGACTGGCTTTACAGTTCTACACCGCCTTCCTATCTCAGCCACATTGTTTTTTTCTGCCTGTGCACCCCCTCTTGCGCCCTCGACAGTTCTCTTCGTTTCTTTGCTCTGCAATACCTTACGGCTTATTTCCAATTCCTTTATGATTTCTGGATCTGTGTAAGCAGACCAGCGCCGTGGGTGATCGCTTTGTTCTATCTGGGGAATCGAAGGGGCCCGTTCCCACATTCTCGGCGGGGCTCCTGTGCCACTCGCACTTTCGACTACACTTCTTACAACAGTCGACCCGAGTCCATACACCCAACAAAGATGGACTGGCAACCTCAGGAGGAGCCATTGAGGCAGCTGGCTTGCTGCCTCCGCGACTCTCTTATTGGAGGAATCGGTCCAGCTCGCAAGCAAGCTGAACAGGTAATGGCTTTCCCTTTTTTTGTCCGCCTCTGCGGCTCTACACCGGATGTAAACTGACTCCAAGTCCTCTACCGAAAGATGCTTGCTCAAGCGACCTCTTCTCCGGACTACATTAACTACATCACCTATCTCTTCTCCACCCCGCACCCTCCTGCCTCGTCGGGGATCACCAATGCGGAGTACAGCACCATTCGATTCGCCGCCGCCATGAACGTCAAGACCAAGATCTTCGTCGCTTACAGTACCATTTCCCCCCAGAGTCTGGTCTTTGTGCGGTCTGCGGCTTTGCTTGCGCTGCGCGACTCCGAACGCAACGTCCAGCGGGGTGCTGGTAGCATCATTACCGAGCTCCTCAGCCAAGGAGGCCTATTGGCCTGGCCCGAGGTCCTTCAGGAACTTTTGTCTCTCGTTGGCAATGCCTCTGGTGATGTTACCATTGGTACTCGGGAGGCTGCTATGGAGGCTCTACTGAAGGTCTGCGAGGACAACCGCAAGATTCTCGACCGCGACTATTCCGGACAGCGCCCACTCGACGTTATTATTCCCAAGCTCTTGGAGTTCAGCTCCAGTGAGAGCTCAAATATCCGTGCTACCGCTCTCAGTGCCGTCCACATTTTCCTTCCTTACAAGCCCCAGGCTTTGATGGCCTCGCTTGATCTTTTCCTTTCACAGTTGTTCAACTTGTCTGGCGACCAGGATACCAAGGTCCGGCAGATGGTCTGCCAATCTTTCTCTCAGCTGGTGGAGTTTGCGCCGGAGAAGCTTGCCCCGCATATGGAAGGTCTGGTCAATTATATCATCATGCAGCAGCAGTCTCAGGATGACCCGGAGCTCGCCCTCGACGCAGCCGAGTTCTGGATCGGGGCTGGAGAGCAAGCTCAGTTGAAACAGGCACTTGCTCCATTCATGCCGAAGATTATTCCGGTCCTTCTCCAGAACATGATCTACGAGGAGGATGAGGTCATTCGACTGATGGCCGAACAGGATGATGCTGATACCGAGGACCGTGCTGAGGATCTCAAGCCCCAGTTCGCAAAGTCCAAGGCAGACCGTTTGAATATGAACAAGCAGGGTGACCAAGCGAACGCCCAGGAGGAACAACAGGTCGAAGAGGACGATGATGAGCTGAGCGAAGGCGAAATTGAGGACTCCGAATTTGGAGACGATCCTTCCGGCAACTGGACTCTGCGCAAGTGTTCCGCTGCAGCACTCGACGTCTTTTCCAACGTCTACCATCGTCCCGTCTTTGAAATTCTCCTGCCATACCTCAAGGAGACTCTCCGCCATGAGCAGTGGCCCAACCGTGAAGCTGCGGTCCTCACTTTGGGCGCAGTTGCTGACGGGTGCATGGATGCCGTGACTCCCCACCTCCCTGAGCTCGTCCCTTACCTGATCTCACTACTTAACGATGCCCAGCCTGTCGTGCGACAGATCACTTGCTGGTGCTTGGCCCGCTATTCCGGCTGGGCGGCAGGTCTTCGTGACCCATCCCAGAAAGCGCAATACTTCGAACCTATGATGGAAGGTATTCTTCACCGCATGCTGGACAGCAACAAGAAGGTCCAAGAAGCTGCTGCATCGGCATTCGCTAGCCTAGAAGAGAAGGCGGATGACAACCTGTTGCCATATTGCGAGCCCATCCTGCGCCAGTTTGTCGCATGCTTCGGCAAATACAAGGACAGAAACATGTACATTCTCTACGACTGTGTGCAAACGCTGGCCGAATGTGTCATGAACGAACTTGCCAAGCCACACCTGGTCGATATCCTCATGCCTGCTCTCATCGGACGCTACAACTCTGTCAGCGACGAGTCTCGGGAGTTGTTCCCTCTGCTCGAGTGCCTTGGCTACATTGCTGCGGCCTACGGCGATGTTTTCGCGCAATTCGCACCACCTCTTTTCCAGCGCTGCATCAGAATTATCTATGAGAACCTGCAGGCATCTCTTCAATCGGCAAACAACGCCGCTTACGATGAGCCTGACAAGGACTTCTTGGTCACCAGCCTAGATCTCCTCAGTGCCATCATTCAGGCTATCGACCCGCATAAGAGTGGCGAGCTTGTATCCACCTCCCAGCCACGGTTCTTCGACATCCTTTGCTATTGCATGGAGGATGCCAACTACGAAGTCCGCCAGTCTTCATACGCCCTTCTGGGTGACTGCGCCATTAGCATCTTCCCGCATCTGGAACCTTTCATCCCCACCATCGCGCCCATTCTCATTAAGCAGCTCGACCTGGACCTCATCCGCGACGACGATCGCCACACCGGCTTCAGTGTTTTGAACAACGCCTGCTGGTCCTGCGGTGAGATCGCCGTGAACGATAACGCCGGCCTCTCGCCATACGCAGACAAGCTCTACCACAGCCTCCTCACCATCATTAACAACGAGGAGATTATCGATTCCGTCAACGAGAATGCGGCTATGGCATTGGGACGGTTGGGATTCTGCTGCGCCGACCAGATGGCGCCACGATTGAGCGAATGCTCTGGACCTTTCCTCAAGTCAATGGACAAGATTGACTTCACCCGTGAGAAGGCGTCGGCCTTCCTCGGTTTCAACCAGGTCGTCATGAAGAACCCCCAGGCCATGGAGTCGAGCCTCGTCGACTACTTCCAGGCCATTGCCACTTTCCCTGCTAAATCGCTGGCGCATGACGAGTACCGCGAGATTCAGGTCTCGTTCCAGCAGGTAAGAACATTTACTTCGGACTTCTTATACGTCCCGCTAATCTAGTCGCTCAGGTTCTCCAAGGGTACAAGAATATGATACCCAACTTCGACGACTTCCTTGGCCAGCTTCCCCAACCCGTGGCCCAGAAACTGCGTTCGGTGTACCAGATCTAGGCGGGGACCGTTTCGGCCTACGCTTACACCGTAGCGTCAGTTTGGCCCGAGATTTCACCCCCACGGGCAGGGCGAGCTGGGAGGAAATGGACAAAGTACATAGGGCCATGGGCCAATTTTTCTTTCTTTCGAAGTTAATAGTAAGAGGAGGGATATAGGGCGAAGGGCGGAGGAGGCTGGGGCAAAAATCATGGGATAGGAGCATTCTGCGATTTAGCCGTTTTTTTTTACGTTTACATCTCATGATTGCAATGGGCATGCATGATTCTGAAATGATCTCCATTTCTTCTTTACTTTTGCTTTGGTTTCCATTTTTATTTTATTTCTTGCATCCATTTGGCCCCACTGGTCAGGGCCGGATCCTAGGTAGTTTTTTCTTTCTTTCTCAGCGCTGGTTCGGCTTTTTTTTGTTCAAAAATTCATATCCCATTAGATAGATACCTAGGTAGATTAGATAGATACACATTAATAGAAATCTTAGGATTTCTCAACGTCGGTTTATAGTTTAGATAGTTACTTTGGATTAAAGAAGCGGGATTGTGTAGGTAGGTAGTGTGAGATACACAAAGAACAATCACGCTGTTTTAGAACTTAGTGGAGCTATATAAGGTCATAGAGTAGGAAAGCCCTCACTTAGCCATGAATAGGGTAGTATTGCTTGCTTTTAAGTAGCTCTTAGTTTGTATACTTATTGCCTCTAGCAATCTCTCAAATTACAACTAAACTTTCTTCACCAGTTCTCTTAAACAATGATTATTTAATATTTACACAACTCGGCTTATATCGAGTCTCGATAAACAACGAAGTATGGCCCGTCTCGGGATGGAGGCCAACTTGCAACATCCAGTGCAAATTGGGGCTCAATAGATTTATTGAGTGGTTCAATCAGTCTCTACACTCAAGTGCAGCTTCTGCGGGTTCGGTAGGCGCAAGTGGAGGAGAGAATGGATGAAAGGGATATCTAGGTCGAGAATCGCTAGATACAAAGTCCTAGAATGTCAGATCAGTGACGCTTTCGACCCTCGAAAGCGACGGCTGCTCCTCTTTTGCCTCGTCCCCGCCAAAGCCAGCCCAAACTTTCTTACCCACAGAAGGGCGAGGCTCTACACTCAGGTGCAGGCTGTGTAGTTCGTTTGGGCTCAATGAGCCTTGTTCTCCATAGATTCGACGCCCTTTGCCAAAGATCAGATGTAGAAATGATACACAGCAGTACTGGCTGGTGGGGGATGTCTGAAGGAGACCAGTGTTAGTATATGCTCACTCCTGTAGTCAGATAATGCACTCCTGCAAGTGTATTTTGAACATACCTCATTGTCTAACTCATTTTCTAGTTCATTTTCTGGCTCATTGTCTAACGGATAATCTCGTATATCCTCTAGAGATCTGAGGCGGATGACGGCCCGAAGCCGTTCGATAATCTCTTTTTTCAATTCTTTTTTCGCCCTTTTTCAAGTGCCTCGGATTGTTCATGTATATTGTATCAAGGTGTGAAAGGATATATGACCTATGACTGTATGAGCTACTTTGGTATCGTTAGCGGAATTTATGAGTTTGTCGCGGCAACTAGCCTGATTTCCTTGGAATTTATTACATCCATTGGACCCAGGTTGTGTATCTCTTTCATTGTTTTCTCAACAATGTTTTAGCAGCATTCTTGGGGTCAGGGTCCTTGATGTGGCCTGTTTCCTTTGCTGCGTACTTGGTTTCCATACCCAATAGGTGCTAGTATAAACAGACCAATCGGCACCACAAAAAAGACCGTCCTGCCCCCATGGCCTGTGCTTTAAAATCGCCAAATGACTGCCAAGTAAATGCGCAAAGGGCTCGTCGCTTAAAAATTGGGTCACGTCGAGTCGTTCTCATTTCGGTAATTTCGGAGCCATTGACACCCCGGTCGATCCCTAACGACAAAGCAGTATCCATGCTGCGAGGCCGCTAAACCAAAATGGACAAAAGTCGATCAGCCAGATCTCGGAGCAAACAAGGAAATGATGATCAGCGGGGATTTACAACGAACATTTGCGGTGCGCGAGAGTATTTTTGGATCAACGATGCACACTTAGTCTCCTTAGTCTCGTGCATCTTTACCCCCTAACGACTCGAAGGTGTGTACGTGTACTGTACCTGGATGTTTACTCCGTAGATATGCGAGGGCAAGAAAAAGCAAAGACATCAATAGATCCCACAGACCCTCAGAACTAATTTACTGTACTGTACTGGCCCCGAACTAACTTAACACTAACAAGAACACCTAGGAACAAGAGGAACAAGTCCACCCGATCCTCCATACTCAACAAGATAACCAGAGAAACAAAAACCAAAACCAAACCCGAAACTTCCGCTCCTCGCCTATTTGACGCGTGGTCTAGCAAGGCGTAGTCGGACATAAATTAAACAGTCGGCACCGAAAGCCCCAGCGCCCGTTCCCAATACCAAGACGCGAGCCTTTCCCTTAACCGCTTCTTTTCACGAAAAAAACGGGGCGTCTGCATACCATTTTGGACCCCACTCATACCGATACCAGCCTGGGCAGTCCAAGTCCAAGTCTAAGCACAAGCGTAATGCCAAGGACAAGCCAAATCTCACCCTGGTACCCGTTTTCTAACTGCTTATACTGCAGGGCCTAGTCTACCAAGGGCGTGGGTGCTAGTGGCGCCTTTTTCGAGGCTTCGGGCATTGTCGATATTCCGGCCTTTCCCGCTTACGGTAAGGCTGTTCGGCTATGGGTCTTGTGGCTTGGGGGATAAGAATGACGGGGCTATTGTGGGCATTTTGCTTGGGGACAGGTACTGGAGTTGGATTTTGAGGATCGACGGCCGGGGACCTTTTCTGGACGCCGGTGGGTTAGTTCTTTATATAGACGCTTTTCCTGAAATGGAGCGGATCTTAGCTTCGTGTGAGATGGTGTTGTTGGGGTTCTTAGGGCTCAGGGGCAACAAACTTTGGTGTTTGCAATATTGTACGGTTCCCGGTTTTCATTTTCAGCCTCAGCTGTAGTGTGATTACAGTATTATCTTTTCTATGTAGGACGGGTCCCAGGTCAGATCGAGTCAGATCTGGGCTTGGAGTTTCTAGTCTTTTTAACTGTTGAAACTTAGATCTAGGTAGCGTACGATCGTGGAATCTGACTCCTATACCACCCCTATCTCACTCATTGGGAATGGGTTCAAAATCAAACACATGTCTATTTTCTTTTGTTTTTTCTCGAAATATGAAACGATAAATCCCGCTAGAAGCATTGCATATACCGCAAATGTCCATCTTCATTCTTGATGCATGAACTTAAGTTCAACTCGTCACTGCAGATGTTTCCCTCCCCATCGTCAAGCCGCGCTTGTAAAAGGGGCTCATGGTTTGGGCCATCCATTCGGAGAGTGACATCAGTGGCACAATCGGAGAAATTCTCACAGCTCCACGTAAGTTTTCCTAATGATAGCCACGTTAGTGGTACATCGACGGGAAGTAAAGTTTGTATGTTAAAAATGCAACTCACCTTTCTTAGCCCCTATGAACCTATTGAGATCTAGTTCCGAGTATAATGCGTCCCCGGTCGGTCGTCGGCAGTAAGCAGTGAGGATGTGCTTGTCCTTCAGTCTAATATTCATAGCTGATTTGTGGAAGGGCATATTGGCGTGTTGGGCTGCGACTGGCTTCTTTGGTTGCTTTGCTTGTTAGGTTCCAATGTCCCTCGAATGAAAAAGATAGACGCAAAATCTTATCCAGATGCCCAGAACGGTCTGGCGCAGTCCTGCATTGAGAGAGAAGAAAGAAAGTAAATAGGAATAGAAAGTACAAAAACAGGACTGCAAGTGAAATGCTGAATACTGAGCGGACGGCAACTTTCCCCAGATGACATCGATGCGGTGTAGATGTCCGACCATTTAGAGCTATGGAGGCGGTGGCTCTGGCATCATGCTTTTCTCACCATGACACGTGGGGGAATTATAGAGACTAGCACTGTCTGGACTGCCTGCAGCATGTATCTAAGCCGCGGAAATAACACTCATTGTTAATGATAGGGCATGTTCTTGTTTATGGGGGGTCATAGTGACCTCATGCAGGACTTCTGCAGAGTGCGCTGTCAGCCTCATCCAAATGTAAAGTATCGGGCGTTTAGACTTGGCAAGGGTCAGCAACCGTCGGGTAATATGTATAATCATAAAAAAAGGAGCAGAAAAAGAAAAGAACATATAGAAAGCTGAAACGGGCGTGAAGCGTGGCTTAGAAAAGAGAGTTGACGCTAACGATCTTTATTTGATGAAGTACAGGATATCCGCGGGACTCGGGGCAATATAGACTCCCTCCCGTCGATCCTAGTTAGTGTCTGTTAGTTCTTGATTAGGTCGATGTATCGATGTAGAACAGGCTTTGGGTCTATTGCGAGATCCCCGGTCAAATTTGTTCTGGGCTATACCTGTCCAAAGTCTTTTAGGGTGCTCGGTACAGACAGCCGTCTGAAGGTGATGCAGTAGGCCATTGCAGATGACCGCCCAAGATTAGGCTCCTCGAACCCAGTGGAGTGGTACATACATCGGTAGTCTCTTGACGATCTCGTGCGCCCCACTGTCTAGAATGACCTCTTCTTGGCGTAATAGAGTTGCTTAGTCTGCTGCAGCCCATGGGCAGTGCTGAAGGTCTCGATGGCTCTAATCCAAAAAGGCTTGTCTCTTGATCTTCGATCCATGGCTTGTATCTGGGGAGAGATATTCTCGGCCGCCCGGGGAAGACGCATATAGGGAGTCAATTATGTATAGTCATTATGCTTGGGGCGTTCGTATTGGTAGGGAAAATATTCCTTGGTGTACCAGAAGACTAGGTACCCCTGGGTTCGGAACAATAGAAGCTAGAGAGCGGACTACAGTATACCTGCATGCACCCCGTCCACTCCCATGAAAAGACGAAGAAAAAGGCCGAGAGAGGTATAGAGGACAAAGTAGTGAAGTCAGTACTTTTGGCCGCTAAGCCTATTTGGGGGCCATGTCGCGAGAAGCGAGACTCAC